TTGCTGGGTTTTGACAGCGGTGACACGGCTGCCTTGACATCTGAGGGTTCATGAAAGAAGTGGGGTCCTTTCCGCTTTGTGTCGTGAGTGATCTGCCTGGTCAGGCTCCCTTAGGCTCGTGCTAAGGACAGTTCTGGTGGGGGTGAGCCTGTCGTCCTCGGACTTACTGTAAAGACACTTCCTGGCCCTATTGGCTTCACAAGTGTCTGATGGCGATAATGTGCCAGATGTCGAAGAGGGGGCAGGGGCGGGCACTGGATGGGGATAGCTGTTCCACAGTTGCTGATATTCCGGGCTCCCCATGCAGCACAGCTAACTGCCGGAGTCGGTGAGGCTAAGAGCTCTATTGTTTTGAAATCGGACTCATATTTGAACAATTATGATCACAGCCGTCTGATTCCAGCACTAAAATACCTATTATTAAGATCCTAATCTGGGAGGGGGGAGCTGGAAGACAGGTATCTATTTAAGAGAGGGACAGGTGTGTGGCTGTGTGTGCTCATCATCAGATTAATAAGAAACGGGAGGTTGGGAAGGAGAAGATGCTTTGGAGGGGGTGACTCGGTCCCCACTGCCCGCCCGCAGGTGACCTACGTCCAGATGAGCTACCCTCTCCACTCCCGCTTGTTTCTTCCTTGGTAACCTGGGGATCGCGGGATGTACCCCAAAGGCACGTTGTGGGGATTCCACCAGATAATGCATGTGGAAGTTTCTCCGCAAGCTCGCAAGCGCCGTGTAATTATTAGCTGTGACGATCAGTTTGAGAAACCGGCTTTCATAATGAGCAGCTCAATTACCCTGCTGGCCTGAGGCTTGCTTATCTGTGGGGGCCGCCGGGAGGGGGGGGGGGCTGTGGGGCCCACGCGAGGAGCCTTGCCCTTGGCCGTGACCTGCTCTCATCGTTTCTTCTGGGAACCGCTTGTGCCCAAAGAGGTGTTGAGTACTAGGACAGGAGACCCAGCTGGGGAAGGGAGGGGAGGGAGGGGGCCCAGGAAAGCTTAGAAAAGCCTTCGCTCTGGGACCTGAGGATGGGGGGCGGGGCCCTGGAAGCCCATGCAAGGGGTTCAGGAGGCATGTGTGGAAATGAAGGAGAACCCACTTGTGCATCTCAGCTGTCAGCCACAAAGGGGAGAGCAGCCCGTAGGCCCCAGCGGGCGGGGGCAAGAGCCCCCTGGCTGTCATTTGCAGGATCAAAGAAAGTCCTGGGGGCCCCTTGCTTGCTCTTTGCCACATGTGTGCAGACTCCTGACCATTCTGGGGGGAGAGGGATCCCTCGGAGCTGGTAGCAGCCAGAATGGCCTGGGTGACCCGCAGGCCGTTCTGTCCCCAGTTGAAGGAACTTTCTTTGTGGCCAGGGAAGCTTTGCCTTTGGACTTGATGGTAGTGAAGCTCTCCTAGTTTCATTTTTACTAGCTCTGTTGTGTGGTGTCTTATTGCCATGGCCTGATGAGCCATTTCGGTTAATGCCCTAGTAACCTTTCTTTAAGGACACTGAGGGGGGAGCCTGGGGGACTCAGGCGGTTAAGCGTCCGACTTCAGCTCAGGTCATGATCTCACAGTGCATGGGTTCAAGCCCCGCACTGGACTCTGTGCTGACAGCTAGGAGCCTGGAGCCTGTTTCAGATTCTGTATCTCCCTCTCTCTCTGACCCTCCCCTGCTCATCCTGTCTCTCTCTCTCTCTCTCTCTCTCTCTCTCTCTCTCTCAGAAATAAATAAAACATTAAAAACTTTTTTTTAAGTAAATAAAGAAATAAATAGACACTGGGCGGCTGGGGGGAGCTCAGTCGGTTAAGCGTCCAACTTTGATTTTGGTTCAGGTCGTGATCTCACGGTTCGGGAGTTCAAGTCCCACATCGGGTTCTGTGCTGACAGCACAAAGCCTGCTTTGGATCCCCTGTCCCCCTCTTCTCTGCCCCTCCCCCCCAAAATAAGCTGTAAAAAAATTTTTTAATGAAAAATTATACAGAAAGGACACTGAGAAAATGTAGGCAGCAAAGGTGCAGAGGTGGTTCTGACCCACCCCTTTGCCTCTTTAAAGAGCCGCGACTTCTCCATTGCTTCTTTGTCGCAGGGGGGACCAAGTAGGTGACCGGTCCCCTGTTTGCGAATCTTGGCTTCCTTACACCCTTACCCACATGCTGTGAAACAGAAGGTAACTGGTAACATTTTCTTGACACCAACTAGCTATTGTGCTCAGCGTCAACGTTAGCTTCAGCGCCCTCTCAAAACCCTAGGGCTGACGTATGCATCATCTTTTTTTTTTTCATGATTCAGATGAGAAAACGGGGACATGGATAGGTAAGGTGACCTGTCTGGGGTCACACACAGTCAGTGGGGATGCCGAGAGTCCAACCCAGGCACCGGACTTCGGAGCCCGTGCTAGGTCAGACAGACTCTCTGAGGACAGACCCCACCCATGGTCCCCTACAGGGACCCCGAGGAAGTGATTGGCTTTCTTTCCGTCATGACAGTAGCACTTATGTTCTGAATGGTAAACTCTTAATGAATGTCCAGTTGTGAGTGGCTTAATACAGGGAAAGAACCTTGGACTTGATCAGACTCCTTCTACCTTTATTTTTTCATATTTATTTTTTAGAGAGAGAGAGAGTGAGCATGAGCAGGCGAGGGGCAGAGAGAGGGGGACGGGATCGGAAGCAGGCTCTGTACTGACAGCAACGAGCCTGAAGCAGGGCTCGAACTCACGAACCACAAGATCATGACCTGAGCCGATCTCAAGTCGGTTGGATGCTCAACCGACTGAGCCACCCAGGTGACTCTAGACACCACCTGCTTTTGAGTGAAATGCAAAATAGGTCAAGAGGCAGGACTCATCTTTAATCTTCCATCACATTAACCCCTTGACACCACCAGGTTCATCTAAGCAGTTAATGGGCAAAGTGGGTCAATCCAGCCTTAGCTCAAGCCGGGGATGGTTCCAGTGCGGTGAAACCCTCTTCCTGAGGGAAGACCTGCTTCTTCCAAACTAGCTTTGGAAGGAGGAGCTCTCCCCGCATGTGGCCCTTTCTGGCTCGTGCGATAGAACTTTCTATCATCATTTCCATAAATGTGCTCAGGAAGAGTAGATTAGGGGTGGCTTGAGGCTGGAGGTTCAGGATGCCCTACTGAGAGGTAAATATTTGGTCAAAAATGATGTGGAGATGGTCTTTTTAAAAATTCTACGTGGGCGCACGTAGAAATCAGGCAGAAACCTCTATCCCAGAGCTAATGGAAGATTGCACGTCCGTGACCAAAACTTGGTCTCCAATTAGTTAACACATCTCCTTCCCTTTTGATGTGCACACATGGGCTCGATTTTGTCCCACCATGTGCTGTAAGCTGCGGATTGAACACTGTAATACTGGAAATAATCCTCTCGGAGGAGCAGTAGCTGGTATGGATTAATTACATATGTCAAGCGTGTTCAGAGCATATTTTGATCGTTAATGGTCTTCCTCCTCATTGAACTTCCGTGAAGTGGATACATTCACCTTCATGTTTACAGATGAGGAACAGAGGCCCAGAGAAGTCAAGAACGTTACTCAAGGTAACACAGCTTACACCAGAAAGCTGGGATTTGAACCCAGGCAGTCTGATGTCTGAGCCCACATCCCTTACTCTCTGCCCGTACAAACCTCCTACAGACAACTGAAGAATGTTCGGTGGACATTACTCCCATTTCACAGGGTGGAATGCCCCAATCCAGAGAGCATATAAGTCACAACCTTCCATCATCAATTGTTGTTACTTTCAATGCTAACTGCCACCACAAAACAGCTTTGTTTTTTCCTTTTTTAATGTTTATTTTTGAGAGAGAGAGAGAGTGTGTGTGTGAGCAGGAGAGGAGCAGAGAGAGAGGGAGACACAGAATCCAAAGCAGGCTCGAAGCTCTGAGCTGTCAGCACAGAGCCCAAGGCAGGGCTCGAACCCATGAACCATGAGACCATAACCTGAGTGGAAGCCAGATGTGCAACCGACTGAGCCACCTCGGCGCCCCGTATCATGGCCTGCATCTCTTACAGGTTGTTAACAGTTTTGTCTGCATACTTGTTTAAGTTAATGCTGTGATAGAGATCGTACAAGTCTTTTTTATTTTTAATGGAATCTGAAGTATTTTTTAGAAGCTTCTAGAGCTGGCTCTTGGGAATTTCCTCTTGGCAAGTTTGCATCTGTTTATACTTCCTTCTGATTTCACCTGCTGTGTGCTTTTTGCAGTCAAGGCATTTTGTCCCTGGTCGCTGTGTTGAAGCCTGTACGGCCTGGATGGGTCAGGGGGACATGGAGACATGTCAGGGTCCCCTCGGTTCCCACCGCACACGTGCCAAGGCTTGGTGAGCACACGGAGACAGGCTAGTGAGGACTGATGGGCAACGGGGTCCCTGGGAGCTCCAGGAGCTGTTATTAGGAAGGGTACGAATCCAGAGGCCAATGGCCTCTGTTGCATCATGACACCTGATGTTTGGGGCACTCGTAGAGTGGATACCCTGCACAGTGAGGCAGAGGTGGTGCCCACGACAGGATGTGGAGAAACTCCTCTCTTACTCTTTCTGTCTTGGAGGAAGGCGCCTTCATATTCCGCACAGATAGTATCTGGCCTCCAAACTCGAGATGGGGATGTTAACGTACCTTTCAGGTACAAAGCTCTGTTTGCACTTTTTCACATTTCTGCACCCGTTCCCGGTAACAAAGGGAAGCCGGGATTCAAAGTGTCGCCACAATGGGGTGCCTGGGTGGCTCAGTTGGTTGAGCGTCGGACTTCGGCTCAGGTCATGGTCTCGTGGTTTGTGAGTTCGAGCCCGGCATCCGGCTCTGTGCTGACAGCTCGGAGCCTGGGCCCTGCTTCGGATTCTGTGTCTCCCGCTCTCTCTGCCCCTTCCCTGTTCCCGCTCTGTCTCTCTCTCAGAAAATAAGTAAACATTAAAAAAATAGTCTCGCCACAGAGACGTGCAGCCAAAGAGGTGTCCCCTTCTGAGCCCGACTCTGCTCTGCTTGCTTTCCCCAGGGACCTGATGCCGCGGACCCTGGACGGGCAGATCACCATGGAGAAGACGCCCAGCTACTTCGTGACGCGCGAGGCGCCCGCGCGCATCTCGGCCATGTCCAAGGACACCAAGCTGATCGTGGTGGTGCGCGACCCAGTGACCCGGGCCATCTCGGACTACACGCAGACGCTGTCCAAGCGGCCGGACATCCCCACCTTCGAGAGCCTGACGTTCAAGAACCGCACGGCGGGCCTCATCGACACGTCGTGGAGCGCCATCCAGATCGGCATCTACGCCAAGCACCTGGAGCTCTGGCTGCGGCACTTCCCCATCGGCCAGATGCTCTTCGTGAGCGGCGAGCGGCTCATCAGCGACCCGGCTGGCGAGCTGGGCCGCGTGCAGGACTTCCTGGGCCTCAAGAGGATCATCACCGACAAGCACTTCTACTTCAACAAGACCAAGGGCTTCCCCTGCCTCAAGAAGGCCGAGGGCAGCGGCAAGCCCCACTGCCTGGGCAAGACCAAGGGCAGACCCCACCCCGAGATCGACCGCGAGGTGGTGCGCCGGCTGCGCGACTTCTACCGGCCGTTCAACTTGAAGTTCTACCAGATGACCGGCCAGGACTTCGGCTGGGACTGAGCTCATCCCCCGCCCCCACCCGGGGGCCCGTATGACTTTACCCCTTGGCTTCTGTTACCGAGAGAGATTATATGTATGTAAAATGTACAGAAATCTATTTTATAATAATTTATTTTTAATTCATAAGCGATTAATTCACTAAGCTGCCTAGCCACATGCTCTTTAGAGAGTTTAGCTTCTGTAATCCGTTCACATTCCAAGGTGTTTCATCTTTTCTTTCCCTCAACAGTTGATGGTGCTTCCGTGTTTCCCCGTCCCCGTCCCCCATTCTATTTAAAAAGAAGAAAAGCACAACTTGAGATTTTTGTTGTTACGGGTACGCAGCCTTCGATCGCTGTCTGAATTCACTCACCGTCTCCTCGTGGCTTGGGGTCTCCTAGTCCGGCTCCAGTCTCCCCTCCCCCCGCACTTCTCGGCGGGAACGTGAGACATCCCTGCGCCCCCCCTCCCCCAGGGTCCCGTCTCCTGTTAGCAGCTTCCTCGTCCCTGTGTTGACATTTCCGAGGACGCAGACGCCAAACCACAGCGCTGCGGCTGTTCCCCAAGTCTACTCAGCTCCTAGGGAAGTCCGTGCCATTGCAGGGAAGCCCCCGCCTCTGATCTGGGAGCCCCGTGTGCCAGGGTCCATGGACTTGGGCGTATGATTCTGAAAGACGGCCCTGTGTCCTCTTCTGCCCGAGTCCCTGGTTCATGAAGCCACTTGAAGTGGATGCAGACGGTAGCCCCTCCTTCCCAGGCCCCACGTGTATGCCTGGGTGTGTGCGTGTGTGCGTGTGTGTGTGTGTGTGTGTGTGTGTGTGTGTGATGTTTGGGTGCTGCTTTAGAAATACAGACAACCTCTGATTTGCATGTGTGCACGTGCTCCGTTCTCCAGGCCAGACAACTCTGCTCTGACACACCAAAGAATTCCCCTAGCCTAGCAGAGTGACCGGCACACACTGCACAGAGGCCGGGTGTCAAGACCCAAAGGAGGTCAAGTTCATCCCTCCCCATCAGAGTCGCAGGGGTGCTGCCAGGTGCAGAGCCAGATGGCGTTGGGCACATCCCGGTAGACTGACGACCTCTGTGGGGAGAAAAGACAAACCCCCGCCAGAAGGACAGGCGGCCAGCAGAAGAAGCGAGTCCCCGCCCCCCCCCCCCCCCCCCCCCCCCCCCCCCCCCCCCCCCCCCCCCCCCCCCCCCCCGTCCCTTGCTTGATGACTGGAACTCTCCTCCCTTCAGAATCCCTTGCTCAGCTCAGATTGACAACTCAGCCTGTAGCCGCCGGCCAGACCACGAGAACGAAGAGTAGCTCTTGTAGTTGCCCGGAGCCACTCCCACCTGACTGTTGTGAGGAGGTGAAGAGGTCCCCTTGTTTGAGTTAGGTCCTGGCAGAAGGTCACCAGTACTGTTGCCGCTGATGGCAAAATGCACCCCCCCCCCACCTCTGTGCTGAGCGAGCAATTGGGGATTATTTTTGAGGACCTCTCCGGTGGCAGTTAGGTGACCATTAGCAATGTCACATAATGAACCTACTCCCTTTGTCCTGTTTTCCGAACCAGAACTGCTTCTGCCGTCAGAGGATTTTCATTTGAGTTCCGTTTCCGCTGGGCATTCTCGGGACGATCACTCAGATCACGGGAACGACTCTTTGGTACGTCGTCGCGGGGTAACGTGCCCAACAGAGTAAGAAGACTTGTATGGAAAGAGAGAGATGACCGTTCCTCTTTAGAAACCGATCAAGAGGTCACTGGTCGTTAGGTGACATCTCGTTGATAATCTGGTTGATAATCTGGTTTCAGCCCGGTCATGGCTAGCGAAGCTATCACCATGTGAGTTCTGTGTAGGAAGATGGGGGAGGGGTGCTCCATGCAATCCCCAGATGTTCTGCTCCTTTCAAAGGTCTGTTTCCACCTCTGCCAAGTACCATAGCGCCTCCATTTAGGGGGACTCCCCAACTCTGCTGTGGTTCTCTCTTCTTGCTACTTGGACACCAAGACGTGTGCAGAAGGGGTGCTAACTGGTCGTGCGTTTTTCCCCTTGGAAAGCTCCACTGGAAATTAAACCCACCAATGCCGCTTTTCAGTTCCAACAGAGTAGAGTTTAAAGTAAAAGCCAGTATCCACGAGCTGCGCCCCACCCTGTCTGGTCGGCTCTCCCGCCGTATGGGTGCCCCCACCCGGCTCATGATGTAGAATTGCAGAAACCCAGTAGTAGGAAAACGCGCCTGCGTTTTTCCTTCCTCCTTCGGGTCCCCGCCATGTCTCCAAGCTGGACAGTTTTGATGAAGTTGTTTCTTCCCTGCCTTAAAACTGAAACGGGAAATTTTCAGATCGATGGGAGGGAGGGTCATTGAGTCACGAGCCCTGAAGTGAGTCAAGATTGTATTCTGGGTCAAATCCTTCAGTCCAAGCAGATGCCTATAATTAGCACTGATGGACTAGAGCACGTTTTTCTAGAGAAGACAAATAAGTCAAACTTCCTGCACATCTCTTCCTAGAGGTCTGATAGCTCCTAGTTCCTGATGGACCCAGAAACGGCATCTGGCCCCAGGTTACTCCCCGTCATGTGATTAGTTATCACGGAGCCCGAGCCCCACATGCCTTCCTCCTGCAGCAGAAGTTAAGCAACACATAAAATTCAGCCTTGAGTCTCTTCCTGTTCGAGCAACCTCCAAGGTCACCAACTTCAAGTTTTTTAGCTGTTAGAAGACAAACGCCATTTCATGGTTTGGCCCTTTGTCTCAGCACGTTTTGAGTTTCTCCTGGTTGATGGGAAAAGTTTTGCTATTCAGTGGGGGTACTTGACCCCTCTTGGTTTTGTTTTCTTATTAAAAGCAAAAAGGCTAAGAGAAATAAAATGAGAGGTTTTTACTGTCTCAGAAACCCATGTTTGCTTGGAGGTGTTTGTATTAGAGTCTGGTAACTTGGCAGCTGGTACCTGGAAAGGTATTTACGTATACTGGCCGCGTAATAAATACTTCTTTGGATGATGGAGGAAGAGAAGTTATCTTTTTCATAGGATTCTCTTTGGAAGTTACGTTGAGTGACAGGTACAGTTTAGACCTTTGGGAAAGCAGTTTCAAATCCTGCCAGGATATTTACGTAAAAAAGGAAACTAGAAGGTTTCCAATACACTAGAAATACTTAAGCGTGTTTCTCAAACGCAGACACAGACATCCGTGTCATTTTTCTTTTTCGGTTTCTCTCAACAAGGCCGGTTCATTAAACTTAAAGGTGTGGTTAGGTTTTTTTTTCGCTTTTGTAACCTTAATTTATGACGGAGTTCATTCAGCCCAGTAATCTGAAATTTTGTGCAAATTCGGGCAGTGTGTCTTCTATAACCTGGATGTTAGAATAGCCAATATGTACAAAAATAAAAGACTAAATCAAGTATTTTGTCCTATGTATAACACAGATTAATTTTACACAGAGAAAGAGGTTTCTAGGAAAATGAAAATCTGGTAATTCATACTATTTCTTTGTATGAACAAATAAAATATATTTTACCAACTTGCAGGTGCTTTTCTGTCTGATGGCGTGCTGCGGATGGACAAGGCAGTGCTGTTTGATTCAATAACTAATCAGATGCGCGCGCGCGCACACACACACACACACACACACACAGGCATTCTGAAGGCAGGTTGATCTTGCAGATTTCAGAATCCAGCTAATCTGCAAATCTTTGAGGCGGGCTTTTTTTTTTTTTTTTTTTTTAATGTTTTATTTATTTCTAGGAGAGAGAGAGACAGCGTGAGCAGGGGAGGGTCAGAGAGAGAGGGAGTCACAGACTGAAACAGGCTCCAGGCTCTGAGCTGGCAGTCAGCACAGAGCCCGACGCTGGGCTCGAACCCACTAACCGCGAGATCATGACCTAAGCGAAAGTCGGATGCTTAACCGACTAAGCCACCCAGGCGCCCCAAGGCGGGCTTTTTGTAAATGATTCTCAAGGCTTCCAGGTCAATGGGGAGGCCCCAGCCCCTTCTAGGGGCATATGTGGACCTCCGAAAACACCAAGGCCACCGTGTGCTGCCTCACAGCTTTGACTGCCTCAGGCTCCAGCCAGAGTGGGTCTGTGGAAGCCGCCATGTGTGGGGACCCGTGTCAGGGTAACAGGTACAATGAAGCAAAAGCATTGATGGCTGGGCAATTTGGATAACAGTAGCATCCTCTTTGCACATGTATAGAGTGTTCTCACGGCAGATCTGTATCTTTGCCCCATAGCAGGAGACTTTGTTTCTTTTGATGTGACACACCCTCTGCACAATGATTATTTACTGTTTTTTTGTGTTTTAAATTGTTTTTAGTTTATTTGTTTCGAGATAGACAGACGGCATGAGACGTGATGAGGGGAGAGAGAGGGGGAGAGAGAGAATCCCAAGCAGACTCCAAGCACTGTGAGCACAGAGCCCGACACCGGGCTTGAACCCACAAAACCGTGAGATCAAGACCTGAGTCGAAATCAAGAGTCAGACCCTCAATCTCCTTCCTGAGCCACCCAGGCACCCCTAAACTCACACGATCATATTTGTCAATTAGATCTCAAAAAAGCTGGAAAATGCTTAAAAAGAAAATAATACAACCTCAAAAGCTCCCCAAGCGATTCTCACATATGGCCAAGCTTGAGAGCCACGGTTCTCAAAGTGCGGTTTCTGGACCCCTATCAGCGTCCCCTGGGAACCTGCCAGCCATGCCAGGACTCGGGCCCCACCTGCGAGCTACTGAATCCGAAATACGGGATTTAATAAGCTCTCCCGCTAATTCTGATTCACTCAAAAATTTGAGAATCCACACGTAGGAGCATAGGCTTCATATCATCCCATTCTGAAACTAAAGACCTTGTATCTCTGATCAAGCACATTGTCTTCTTTATCTGACTTTTCACCAACCAAGGCAATTATGAGGCTGCTCACCTCCTTGTAACTCGTGGTCTCCTTTAGGAAAGTCTGGATCAGTAGCTCTGTCCACATTTCAAATCGTGGCCACTACTTCCCGGCTTCCCCCTGGTGGGTCCTGTTTTTTCAGGCAGCCCTCATATGATTATCTCTAATGTACTCCTGTGAGCGAATGATAGGTGCATATATCATAGAGGATATTTTTAAAGAGAGCTGAATTCCTTTAAAATGCCACTTTCAGGGCACCTGGGTGGCTCAGTTGGTTAAGCGTCCGACTTCAGCTCAGGTCATGATCTCACGGTTCATGGGTTTGAGCCTCGCATCGGGCTCTGTGCTGACAGCTCAGAGCCTGGAGCCTGCTTCGGAGTCTATGTCTCCCTCTCTCTCTGACCCTCCTCTTCTCACGCTGTCTCTCTCTCTCTCAAA